TAGATTAATAACGTCTGGACTAGCTTCAAGGGAGGGCACTAGCGTCTGGACTAGTTTGAAGGTAGGTTAATAACGTCCGGACTAGCTTAAAGGTAGGTTACTAGCGTCTGGACTAGTTTGAAGGTAGGTTAATAACGTCCGGACTAGCTTAAAGATAGGTTACTAGCGTCTGGACTAGTTTGAAGGTAGGTTAATAACGTCTGGATTAGCTTAAAGATAGGTTACTAGCGTCTGGACTAGTTTGAAGGTAGGTTAATAATGTCTGTATTAGCTTAAAGATAGGTTACTAGCGTCTGGACTAGTTTGAAGGTAGGTTAATAACGTCTGGATTAGCTTAAAGATAGGTTACTAGCGTCTGGACTAGTTTGAAGGTAGGTTAATAACGTCTGTATTAGCTTAAAGGTAGGTTACTAGCGTCTGGACAAGTTTGAAGGAAGGTTAATAACGTCTGAACTAGTTTGAAGGTAGGTTAATATCGTATGAATTAGCTTAAAGGTAGATTAATAACGTCTGGGCTAGTTTGAAAGTATGTTAATAACGTCTGGACTAGCTTGAAGGTATGTTAATAACGTCTGTACTAGCTTCAATGTAGGTTATTAACTCCTGAATGTTACTAAGTCTAAGTTACCGTAAAATAGCTGCAATTGTACTTACTCTACTTGCTGCGACTGAGGGGAACCCTGACGACTGGGAATTAGCTGTTTGGACGTATCCCATGATGTCCTGGTTAGAACTGTACAAATCGATCGGTCCTGGACTATTGTTGGAAGAGAATCCATGATTATTGGCAGAGGATGTAGGTGAGGCAAAACTTGTGGATACATAGTTGTTGATGACTGTAAAAAGAAGATAGGAAGTTAGTCACTTCCTTAAGTAGTTTTAGAAAAAATGCAGTTGTGTAGACATGTGATTGTTCTCTTTTCATTGTTGTACTTCATAATACTACAAAAGTACATGTACTAAGGTATGTGAAAGGTAAAAACGAATTGGCAGCTGGAAGTGGTTCTTTAAGAAACCTTCTTTTTGTTTGTCATTCCAGTTTTGTTACCCCCTTTCCTATTCCGGTCTTCTAGAAATATGCAAGAGTTTGTTTTAGTTTCAGAAGTACGTACGATTGAAAACTCAACTGGTTAGAACTTTAGTTAACCTTCGTAGATTTAAGTTATAAAAAAATGTTGCCAGTGCAATACTTCATGTTGTAGTGTTTTATTTTATCTTTTATAAATTTAAGAAGTGTGTGTTATGTTTCTATCTATTTTGTAATTAATCAAACTGAACAGTGAAACTCCTTTTTAGGAGCTCAAGAGCATTGTTAACCTGATGATGACCTAAGGAGGTCGAAACGTTATTTGTTTAGTGTTTTAAATAAAAGTTATTAATACCCGTATTAGCCGTATCTACTACATATATTTGCTTCAACTAGGTTCGTCGTCATCATGAATGCTTATGTTTTATTGTTTCTTGTTTTGCGACCCACAGCTTGAAAATTGCTCGGTTAGCATATCAACTAATTAAATGCCTGTTCCGCCACGTTAAAGTGACATTAATAAAAAATATAAGGGTTAAGCGAAAAAAAAACAAGGGACTAAAAGTTCACAGTGACCTGTGTATCACCATATATTTTGATCTAATCAGAAATTAAAAAAATGTCACTACCTGGTACTGCTTGTGTTAGCATCGGCGGCGAGCTCTGCTGGCCATTTAGTTCCACTGTGAATATTACAAACATAAAATAGATTAGTAAACTGTCGTCAACATGAATTATACGTGATATAAATATAATGGAATAGTCCTTATTGATGCTTAAAATATTGTACAGAGATTGACTAGGTTATATTAAAACGATTTTGAAGCCTTAACACGTCATTACAGTCTTTATCGCCATGTCCAACCACACTCTAAACCAATAACTGTGCATCTTGACAATAACCCTGACACGTAATTTCTACTGGAAAAGGCTTCGTCGTAAGGCTGTCATGTCCAAAGCACGCCAATTTTCCCTGTTTGCATTCCATAATCCATCTAATTAATGAGGGCGACGGTTTCCCAGTGCCTGTTTCAACAATGCGATTAGGCAACTTGACTGGCATGTCTTTGCATGGAATAGCATGAATACATATTACATTCTCTAGCTCTTTGAGGTAGCCTTACTTTGGTGAATCCACACCCTGTTGGCCTCGTTTCTAGACGGAAATCCTTTTTGATTACGTTACGCACGGTTGCCTGGGTCACGTGGATGGCTCTTGCCATTGATCGTTGTGTTTGTGGATTTTCACCTGTTAAAATACTTGTCATTTTACTTACCACGGCTAAAGTACAACATATTGTAGATTTCTCTCTGGATGGCCCTAATGCTCCTATTTGACCCATAATCCTTTGTTTTCCGATGCCATTAAGGCGATCAATTTCCGTGTCATCACCGTAACGCCAAACAATGTCAAAATGTAGTCCTGATTCGGTGTAAATCATGGGTCGACTTCTTAAAACAAAACGGTGTAAATCATGAGTCGACTGCTTAAAACAAAACGGTGTAAATCATGGGTCGACTGTTTAAAACAAAAAAATGTAAATCATGGGTCGACTGCTTAAAACAAAATAGTGTAAGTCATGGGTCGACTGCTTAAAACAAAACGGTGTAAATCTTCGGTCGACTGCTTTGTTATTTCGACGGAACTCTTCTATAAATCAATTATTTCTTCAAATGTTTCCAGAAAAAATAAATATTCGACAATCAACAGGAGATGTGTGAAATAACGTGAAATTGGTTTAACTTTATCTTGGTTTTTAAATAGTTTAGGACATTATCGCTGAAACCTGTATTAATAACATTTGTATAGTTTTATTTTGAGTTTCAAGTATAACGTTAAATGTCTTGTCATTTAATTGTTACAAAATTATTGTATTAATAACAGTTACTTTTATACTTAAGTGCAAATGTAAAATATTTCTTTTTTTAACAGCGAATATTTCCAATTGTAACTTACTATGTAGTTTACGGAGGGCTGAGCACGTTGTATTAAAACAATTTTAAACATGCAAGTCAGCAGGTCACGTGACAATCACAGCCAATATTTTTGTTTTAAGCAGTCGACCCATGATTTACACCGTTTTGTTTTAAGCAGTCGACCCATGATTTACACCGTTTTGTTTTAAGCAGTCGACCCATGTTTACACCATTTTGTTTTAAGCAGTCGACCCATGATTTACATCATTTTGTTTTAAGCAGTCGACCCATGATTTACACCGTTTTGTTTTAAGAAGTCGACCCATGTTTACACCATTTTGTTTTAAGCAGTCGACCCATGATTTACACCGTTTTGTTTTAAGCGGTCGACCCATGATTTACACCATTTTGTTTTTATAATAACAATATTTTGTTTGTTCTGTTCGTCATTATATATATATGAAAATGTTGATTTCATGCTGTTCTACAAGTATATCTGGTTATAGAAAACGAATATACATGACAAATTACTACGAGGGCGATTCTTGTTCTTCTTCATTACTAATAGGCCTAGCTTAATGTTTAGAGTGCTGAACTGTGAGTGCCAAATAAAAATAAAAGAGGCTCATTCCGCACTTTGGGGATGTGGGTACGTTGCTTGAGTGACAATCAAATCTCACCACTCGATTAGAGTAGCTGAAGAATTGGCGGTGGGCGATCTTGACTGGCAGCCTTCCCTCTAGTGGCGTGGCAAGGCCTGGCGATTAGGGCGCTCGACTCGCAATCTGCGGGTCACGGGTTCGAAGTCCCGTCACCGAACATGCTCGCCCTTCCATCGTGGGGGTGATATAATGTGACGGTTAATCCCACTATTCGTTGGTAAAATAGTCCAAGAGTTGGCGGTGGATGGTGTTAATTAGCTGCCTTCCCTTTAGCATACCAGTGCTAAATTAGGGACAACTAGCGCAGATAGTCCTCGAGTAGCTTTGCGTGAAATTCAAAACAAAAACAATTTCTTTTAGTTTATTAGTTGAAGACTTAGGGACGGGTAGCTTTACTCTGTTAGTGATATTATATCGACGTCAAAAAGTTTTAATCTTAGACTAAGCCTGAATGTAAAATCCAACATTACATGAAAATACAATGAATGTGACATAATTAAAACATTATTTAAATGGTCATTGAAGTATAATAGTGGCAAAAACGTCTTGGGTCAAAAATAACTTTTTCTTTCCAATAAAAATCTTTACATTTGTTAGAAACTCTGTAACCATTTTTTATTTGTTTCAAACTGTTTCCAAGTGACTGTTTAACCATTTTTTTATTTGTTTCAAACTGTTTTCAAGTGACTGTTTAACCATTTTCTATTTGTCTCAAGCTGTTTTCAAGTGACTATTTAACCATTTTGTATTTGTTTCACGCTGTTTTCCAGTGACTGTTTAACCATTGTTTATTTGTTTCAAACTGTGTTCAAGTGACTGTTTAACCATTTTTATTTGTCTCAAGCTGTTTCCAAGTGACTGTTTAACCATTTTTTGTTTGATGCACGTGATTGTCGCGAAAAAAAGTTTAACTAAGATCGTACACTTGAAAGCAGTTTGAAACAAATAAAAAATGGTTAAACAGTTTGAAACAAATAAAAAATGGTTAAACAGTCACTTGAAAACAGCTTGAGACAAATAAAAAATGGTTAAATAGTCCCTTGAAAACAGCTTGAGGTGATTGGTCAGATAAGTAACTGTTTTCGAATATAAAAACCATGATTTGGGGGGGGGGACTTTATTCACATTCAAGAAAAAAAACATGATAGGATAAAATAAAAAGTTCCCACTTTTTTCTTTGTCATAGTCACTCTTTTCTGGACATATTTTAGCCTCATAATTTGAATAACTTCACTTACGTATAGCTTACGAATCGGCGCTGCTGTTTCTTAGTTCTAAAAATTTAAAGTATTCTACACTGCTATAGGCCACAAGTTCCTAAGTTTAATAGAAGCAGCTAAATTCCTAGCTACTTTAATTATTTATTGGATGTATTTGTGGAGTGTAATCGTTTGCATACTCTCTAATAGTGTTAGGCACTGTACTGAAAAAAACACAACTGATTATTCGTTTCTTCTAAAAATAATAATATCGTTACATAATATTTAATAAAAAATGTAGCCCTGTACAACAATGATTGTTACTATTCCTTACTTTTTAAATTATAGATCTCGAAATTAATTTATTGAAAGTGTTAATCTGATTACACAGTGAGCATGCGCGCAATTAGCCAGTACAAAAAAAAAAAGGAAACTAAAACCTTGGTACCGATAAAGCTTGTAGGAAAAACCATTTTTAAGCTGCTGAAATGGATCTGGCAGTTATTCAAAGGAAAATTATAAATTACACATCGTTTACATGTTCTATTTGCTTAAAAAATGTATAAACTAAAATATACTTTGTCTGTAATAAAGAAAAGAGCACTAAACGTAAGTGTACAATGGAAAAGAAGGTAATGAGACGAAGTGTTTCTTTCATGTGGAAAGTAACTGTATATTATTACTGCTATTAATATTCGAATGTATTGTAATTCCACGTTACTGATAAAAGTAATACCAAAATAACGCGTTACTCCAACTGTGTTCTCTGAATTTAAGCGTTCACACCGGCGTGACATTACGTAAAGAACATCTAACTTTTGACTCTACTGCCCTCTACAGTAATATCAATGAAATATCGAGACTGGTGTAAGATGTTACAAAAGTGTACGAAGAACATGGTTTATGTGAAATTGATCATTTCCAGAAAGTTTCTCAATAAAAGGACGTTCGCCGGTAGATCAATGGTTATTTTACGGACTTACAGGGCTAAAATCTTGGGTTCGATTATCAACAGCAGACAGAGCGCAGATATTCCATTGTGTGGCTTTCCGCTAAAACATTCAGCTCAACATTCAACGTAACAGTAGAAATTGTTATATTATTGACATATAAGTAATGAACAGGTAGACAGTGTTCTCTCCTCCCCAGTGGCACAGCGGTATGTTTTAGCGGACTTACAACACTAAAACCCGGGGTTCGATACTCGTGGTGGTCATAGTAACTCATTGTGTAGCTTTATGCTTACTTACAAAAAAAACAATTGACCAATCACTAATGAATAAACAAAGTTAATGAGTGACTTCGTGGCTTTTAAATTTAGTTAATGAAAATAAAAATATAAAAATTCAAAATAACATGTTTTAAAGTTAGAATACTGAATGCATAACTATATTGAAAGTGGTGAAACTATTGCTAAGTAATTTCATTAAAAACAATTAAATTACCTTCCCTATTTTTTGTATGAGCTACGTCTGAAATAATAACATAAAATTTTACTGAAAAACAAAACTTATAATGTTGTTTTAGAGACATTATTAGCCAGTAGAATTTAGCAAAACCAAATGTGCCACGCTACAGTGACCTGAAGAAGGAACACGAAAATGTCTCGAAAGGTCATCTAACTTAACTTGTTAGACAAGTTGTCGGTACAAATGCACTCCGTACGTTTTGTATCAAAGAACCAAAGAAATTTCAACAAACTATCATTTAAAGTTATTGCACCAGAATTATTATAATAAGGCTGGTAAGATTGAATATAAATTATTTCAAGAAAGGTTCAAAGATATCAGAGTAGTTAGTTATCTATATAATTATAAGATTAACTTCGTTAAACAATGCAAAAACAGAATTTGTAGGAGGAAAGTTCGGAAGACGTCACCACATCCCGAAAAGTGTAATGGGTGT